GATTGCTGCTTTTGAACACAGATAAATTCTTCCTACTTACCTATGCTAGCAAGAACAGCATCTAAAGTGAAGAATTAAGAACATTCCAAGGCTACTAGATTATCCTTAGTACTCTGAATTAACTCTTTAACGGTCTTGGTATTTAAAAGCAAAACATTTGTCACAAATTTTTACCTCCCAATGTTTCTTTCCTTTTCTTTTTTCTTCTATTTTCTTTCTTTCTTACTTTTATTTATTTATTTATTTTGCAACGTTTTTTTGTCACAGAAATTTAGTTACAACTGAACCGGTGTGTATGTTGCTTATATAAATGTAATTGTCATTAACATCTGTATGATCTGAGATTTTTATTTTGATAAGAGAATTTTTCATTTCTATATTCATTAAAAACTAGAAACTATTTCTAAAAAAGTGTGTGAGTTGATAAAACAGAAGGAGGAATAACAATCAAAGAATAATTTCGAAAGACACTAAAGAAAGAATGAACATGACTTCGTAGGGTGGTCATTAAGACTACTTAAAATATAATGTGGAAATATTCTGAATGGACATTTGATGTTAGGATAATAATATACACATAACGTATGTTGGCATGTATTTGAAATCTAAGACAAACTGGGTAAGTCCAAATAAAGTTGAGATCACTTTGCAGCCTTTTGGCTAAAATCAAGTGCAGATAAAGTTATGAGGTCTTGAGATCTGTTAAGAAAATATGACTTATAACCAATGTTAACACTAATATATGTTGTCATCAACTTTCTTCTAACTATGTATCACTGGCCACCTGTTCCAAGTAATTTGTAAGGAGTTCAGTTGTTCCTAGACACGAAATATTGTGAACAAGGATGATTCCATTTCTCCACTGCTAAAACTGTTTGTTAATTTTTCCTTTCAATTGATTATTTCTAATTATGATAATACAGCAGCTGTGGACAATGCCTTTTCTTTCACATTCTGTGATATGAAAGGGACTGTAACTTGTTGAAATTGGGCGTTGTTACTGTTATTATTCCTGGGGAGGCTTATTAGCCTGTCACAGAAGATATAAGAAAAAACCATCATTCCTTTTGGTATACGATGAGCCTTTGTCACCCACAATGCAATTAATGTTAAAAATAGAAAGAATGACTATGATATGATTACGATTAGCTAGAAATGAGCTATTGTCCGAGTAACAGACACCAATCCAGCAGGCCAAAGATGACCTACGCAGAACCATCAGTTTGCTGATTGCCATTTCTCTCTGAGTTTGATGAAATATTCATGCCTTTGCTCTCCTCTCTGCAAGCACTATTGATTTCTTGTATAAACGGTGCTATATTTAGTCTAGACAAATGGAATGTGGATTGCTGCTGAATAAATTGGATGAAAGACTGGGATCTTGCCTGCCGCTTTCTCTCAGTCTTGGGCAATTATTTATAATCAAGAGCAGTTTTTGTAAGTTGAGGGTGATTTTTCACAATTTAGTGATTAGTCTCTGAACAAAGGCAAGCAGTTAGACAAATCATTTCTGTTGGGATAGCGGGTTAAGAAGTCAAATTACCCTTTGAGGTTTACAATAGCTATTTTGGAGAGTTCTGGAACATTTTTTCCTTATCTTTTTTGGGGGATAATTTTTTTAGGGGGTGGTTGTTTACAGTTTAGAGATAATAAGAATACCAGCAAGAAGAGACTCCAGAGTCTCTTGAAATTTTACATTTGTCTTTACAGGGCTAAATTTCTGATTTTTGTTTATTGGGATTTTCATATAAAAACTGGAGGTTTCACTTTGGCCTTTTTAATGTAAAAATGAAATATATCATTAACAGCCATTGCTTTTGGTTGGAATTATGCCAACTATAAATTAATATTCAAAATCTCATGTTACTTCAACATCTTGATTGAAAGTTCTAAATTGGATGCTGCAACCAGCGATCATACAGGCCATCATCCTCCATTTAGTTTCAAACTTGGCTCAATTAATATCTTCCTTTAACAAATGTTTTAGAAGATGTTGTCCACTAAACTATGGTTTATCAATAAATTGTTTTACCATTTTCATTAAAGTGCCATTACCATCAATATAAGCTTCTGATCAATAAATTGAAAAATAACTGGTATCAGCAACCCAAGACTGATGCAGGCCCTTATCCCCACCCCACTCATGGGCACACACACAGGACTGTATACACACACCCACACACACTTCACATGATATGCAAGGACATTAATATTTCCTTGAGTATTTGCAGCCTTGACTTCTATAGACAGGATTTCTGTTAGGCTTTCTTGACTCTGAAAATATCTCTTAAGTCCACATGGACTTAACTTTGTAGGTCTCGACCTGGAATCTGGAAATCTAAGTTACTTACAGTAGTAGTCAGAGCATTAGCTGCACTTTGGAAAAAATATAGAAAAGTAGAGGGGGAAAATTATTCATACAACCATCTTCTGCTCCGTATTTCACCAGTCTTTGCTGTTAGAATTCAGAGACTAATGTAGTTAGAGCCCCAGTAAATGATATGCTCTGTGAGAGCTGGAATTTTTGCCTTTTGTTTTCTGAACCCAATCTAGAATTACACCTGAGAATTTAACATTCTTAATGAATATATATTGACTAAATTATGTTTAGCTCATTTAAAAGAGTTGTAGGATATATGTCACTTTTATTACTTTTTTCATGTAATAACATTTTTCATGTTCCTGTAAACTTTTTTTAATGATTGCATGTTCTTCCACCAAATGGATGTGACATATTTTCCTTAGACATTTCCTTGTAGTTGATTATTTCGATTAAAAAATAATGCTTCAGTGAACAATATGGCATTGAACTGTTTCTTCTTCTGTATTATCTCCTTAAGGTGTATTCCTAGAGTTGGCAAACCTGAACCAAATGACAGAAATTTTTAATGCTTTCTGATACATGTCACCAAATTGTTTTTCAAAAGTTTTAAACCAATTGTAGTGCCACCTGCAACATATAATTGTCTGTTTGATTATATGCTTATCTTATACAATGCGGCGTTATATATGCACATGTGCATATAGATGAATCATATATATGATATTTAATAATTAGAAAATGATGCCTTATTTTGATTTAAAATTTTTATGTTTTTACTACTGAAGGTGAATTTTTTGTGTTGTTTAGCTATATCCCTTTGTTTTCTTTTTCCATTTTTCTAGATGCTTTAGTGTTTTTTCTAATATTTAATAGAAATCATATACAATTTTATTTTCATACTTGCTCTTAATATTTGTATTTTGTTTGCCACACAATGTTGAATTATTTTAAGATATAGGAAATTTCCATTTTTATATAATAAAAAAAAAGCATTTACTGAGGGATGTGCTAATGTCTTTTAGTGAATTATTTTATTTAATCCTTTTTTTTTTTCAATTTCATTTCATTATTAGTTTCAAGTACACAGTACATTGGGCAGACATTTATATCGTTTATGGAACAATCCCCCCGATTACTCTTTCTCTCCTCTGGCTCTCCATGTAGCCATTACATTAATATTAACTGCATTCCCTATGCTGTGCTTCCCATCCCCATGACCCTCTATCAACTACTAATTTGTACTTCTTTAATTTGTTTAATCCTTTTAACAACTCTATATTGTTACCATTTACTATAATTATCTCTATTTTACATATGAGGAAACAGACCTGGAGAATTTAAATGACATATTCAGGGTTACACAGTGAGAAAGATGGGAATAGACATTTAGATTTTAGAGCAAATGTTGAAAATTGGCAGCCTACATGTCAATGTTTATTATAGAAGTTTTGGGTTTTGGGGGGTGGGGTAGGGTAGAGGGTTCTCATAGTGTTTAAATCTTTTAAATTATTTTACATTGAAAATTAGGTGACTTCTGCCTACATTGGATCTGTATTATCTTTTTTTCTTCACCAGTAATCGGTTGGACCTCAGCAGTGGCGAACCACTTTAGATGAGTCACACAATCCAGTTCACCATCGTTTTCCCTCCAAAATCTCAATTGTCTTTACCTAAACCTGTTTCATTCAACTACTTTGATTCCTGTGGGCAAGGGTCTTAGTCAAAATGTTTAACAACCAGTTTGGCTAAGCATGTATTAACCAGAATGGATGCTAGCCATAAACATGCAGATCTGCATATCTCTTCTGTCTGCGAGCTTTTGTGCTTACACCACTCGTAGACGTTATCTGGTAGAAGCTGTGCTAAAATTTTAAACACATTATCAAATTTAACTTTTATAATTTTAAATATCTGTAATTATTCTCCAATCATCAAAACTTTCTCCAGTGGCTTGATCGAAGAATTGTTTTAATCTTCCTCATGGTTTTTCTGCCTTGTTTATTTTAGAAGTAAGGTAACTGCAATACAGATTATGACCATTTAAAAACCAGCATTTGGAAGCTTGGCTATTTTCATTCCTTGATATTTGATCCTGACACCATTACCGTGGTTGATTAATTAATCTCACCATTTCTCACATTTTAGCATACAGATTTGTATTTTTTTCTTTGCTAGGTCCATAGCCCTCCAAATGAATTACATTAAAAGCTTAGTCCTTAAGAAATATGTCTTATAATAAATTTTCTGACTCTGATTACAAACAAGAATGTTCACACATATACAAATTAAGTTGTGTTACAAGTTCCCTATTATCACATGACATCTTTTTCCTCAGGAGAGTTGCATTTTTGGTCCTAAATTGACTTGACTTTTTTAAGTGGTCCAGTAGAATAAGTTTTATGAACAACTTTGTACCAGCAAATAACTGAAGTTATCTCTTTGAAAAAGGGAAATGTGGAAAATTCATGGTAGAGTATATATTGCTGGGTGAAAATTAGGTTCATTTTTATATATCAAAATTGATATAAAAAACCACCTTTTATTATCATTGTAAATAAATGACTAGATTTGTTGATGTAAAGTTTGTTGTACAGGGTATAGTGTCTTTTATTTTTTGTGTCCTAATCAATGTGCTAATTTCCTATTCTTTATTATCTCTTTTTTTCTTACCATTTCTTCAGTGGATGTGAAGTCAGAAGTTCCTGTGGGCCTGGAGCCCATCTCCCCATTAGACCTAAGGACTGACCTCAGGATGATGATGCCCGTGGTGGACCCTGTTGTCCGTGAGAAGCAACTGCAGCAGGAGTTACTCCTCATCCAGCAACAGCAACAGATCCAGAAGCAGCTCCTGATTGCAGAATTTCAGAAACAGCATGAGAACTTGACACGGCAGCACCAGGCTCAGCTTCAGGAGCACATCAAGGTAGCAGATGTTTCCTTGCCTCTGACCTTTTCACTCAAGGAGCCTGTATCATCACATGGGCATAAGAAGGAGCACAGTGGGGAAGGTTCTGTGTGATTAACACATGCAGATATGGCTCAGAGGAAAAAGTGGTTGTACTAGTGAAAACCTGGGATACAAGTGGTAAGAATGCTGACTAAAAACTTGCTCTGATTCTTTGAGAGGCCTCTACCACTCTTCTCCTTTAGTTTGTAGCTTCAACAGTGGGGAATAGTCACTTCCCACCCCTTTTAGATTCTCTTCTACATTTTTTTTTTCACTCGCCCCATCTGCTCTCCACCAAGAAGAACCACAAGCCTGGGAAGATTCATTTTATATTTCTAAAGAAGATGCTTAGAGTATTTATCAGAAAAGATTAGTCTCTTTGTGTGAAGCAAGAGCTTTTTTTCCCCTAATACCCTTTATGGATAAAATCTCATAATGTATACATTCAAAATAATAACGTAAAAAGCTCAAGAGAATTATATATGAAGAAACTGGTACAATGTTTTCAGTATTTTTATATGAGTCTAAAAGACTATAGATAATAATTTATTGAAAGAATTTTGAGAGTAGTTGACTCTTTGAGACCCAAGTTGTTTAAATTATTCTAAGAGAAGTATGTCTATGTCCCAGAATTTTTTAAGGTAGACTAGTTTCTTGTCAGATCATTTTAGATGTGTCTGTATATCTATTTCTTCTCTTGTATCTTTAGAGATAAGTATTACTTTAGCTTTATTTGTAAAATGTCTTTCAACTTCCTGACAAAGACGTTTAAAACAAAGCTGTTTTGGTCTTATTAAATACATGTCTAATTTCACTTTGTTATGACAGTACTATAAAGCAGCAAATATTTATAATTAAAAATTTTATGTCATGCCCAACTCCTTCAAAATGACTTAAATGTGTTAATTTATTGATATAACTAATATTATTTATATTATTTTGTATTAAAGGCACTTGATCTATTACTTGCATATCAAATGCAAACACATTTATATGGGGTTAATATAGATAACTAATCTATGTTAATATTTGTATAATTTTATAATATTAATATTACAGTGTCTGAGAAGGTTCCTATGTTTCTTGTTTTATAAGATATGTCCTTAGACTAGAAGGCCTACTTTATCTTATTTTCCAAAAAACACTCTTCAATGCCTAATATAAACTATAATAATTTTTTTCTTTTAATAGTGAACTTTACTAAAAGAACTCTTGAAATTTATTGATCTACAAGATATCTTAAAAATGAGAGTGAGGATTTTGGTTTTTTGTCTCCTGGAATCAGTAGTTCATGGCTATATTTTGTAGTGTCAGAAACCTTTATTTAGTTTATAGACTTATTTTTGAATGGTTTCTGAAGCCGCCTTATTTGACCTTTTAAACAATAGTAGGAATATTGACATCTAGATCTCCTTATTCATTCTAGGCAAGTTAGGATAGCAATGTTGCTGAGTAAAATTTATATTCTTCACCATATTTAAGTAGCCATATGGTTCATTTTGCGGTGGTAGGTGAGCCCTGTTGCCCCAAATACGAAGCCATATTGATGTTACCGCTCTCCTTAACTTCTTTTTCACTTATGTTTGATGTCTTTTGTAATTGTAAAGATCAATATAAAATTTTTGAAGTAATTTATTGTTTCATTTTACTCAAAAGTTAATAGTAGCAAATAGGTAATTAGTTGTTATTTTGTCCAAAAGTAACATGGTAGGTTTATTAACGGAAAATATTGGAAAAGAAAAGTTTCTTGAAAGAAAAAGGATTCTGAGGTAGCTAAAAGGAAAATTTAGCTTTGAAATAATTTTCCAAGTTAATAAGTTGTTTTCTCAGACACTAAAGCTATACTTAAAATTTCCTTTTAAGTTTTAAGAAGGTTTTGCTTTAAAATTTTTGTTTTTATTTTATTTTACACTTTTTATGGGTAAGGCTAAAAGTTGATACTTTTAATATTCATTTAGATTTTATTTTCATGAGGAAGACACAGTGCGTAATGTTTTATTTATATTAGCATTTTGAATCTTTGGCTTCTATAATCAACATCTTGAGTTAGTAGCTGTTATCCCATTTTTCTGCCTCATAAGCTGAGGCAGAGAAAAATACCGTAACTTGCCAAAGGTCACACAGCCAATAAGTGGTACTTCCAGTATTTGTAGTCCTGCCTTGTCTGTCTCAAAAGCTGTCAAACCTTCCTGCCTCTCTTCTGGACCAGAACATCTGAAACCGAAGGGGTGAAGTTTTGTTTCCTCATTCCACAAAGCCTTTTATCTTTATTCTATTATATTTGAGCATAAATTTCATAGTTTAGGTACCTATCTAATATTAATAGCAAATGATACTACCTTCATTAGTATTGAGAGTAAAAAATAGTAATAATAATTAAAATTTGGATGGTTCAAACTTACAGACTAAATTTCACATACATTACGGACGTCATGTGTGAGGGCAGTTATTTCTCTTATATAAGAGGAACCAAGGTTCTGAGTGGTTTACTAAGTTGTCTGGATCTCATATCTAATAATGTCAGAACGTAAGTAGAACCCAAAGTCTCTAGTTATTCCTCAGTAGGCAAATTTACTATTATCTATTGATGTCTGTTTCTCAGTCTGAGAGAAAACTGATATCTCACAAAACAGTTATTTAGAATGCTTCATATTCATAATATTTATTGTTTGGAAGTGAATCCAAGGGATGCAGACAACTGAACAATAATGCATCAAAGTGCAGTTTAAAATTTTTGTTTTAAACTGTCTTCTTGACCAGTCTTTCTAATATGAAGGTTTTTGTGTGCTGGAGGAGCAAGCCAGATTTCTGCTATTTTGAGAAAAGAGCCTCTTATCAATATTATTAAGAGCCTCTTATTAATCTATTGAGAACCTTTTCTGTAAGGTTTTGAAATTTTTAACATTCATTCTATTTCAGATAAATTTCTCCCAAATTAATTCATTTCTCACCGTTCTATTCAGTTCGATTGTTTTCACACCATTTTTTTGGGATAAGAAATGAAGATTTTACTTCTTTATTTATAATATGAGAGACTTAGTAAAATAGACTTCTGGGCAGTTCTTGCCTTTGTCTGTTTCATATATTTCAGATTACAAAGAAAAATTATTCAGGGAACTAAAGATCTGAGTGACTTTTTGATGGGACAGAACAGGTAATGAAGCTACCTAAAAACTTGCTTATGGGTGACATTAAGACTATGACATTAACTGCTTGCCTTTAGATTTCAATAATTTACCCCCCAAAAAAGTGGGTAAAAATGTAAATAAATACAAACAAGTTCCAAAAGCTCATACATAATATTTTGATTTTGGTCAGTGATGACTATGAAGCCTAAAAAAATTGCACACTCTCATGTCTTTCTCTTCTCGCAAGTTGCAACAGGAACTTCTAGCCATAAAACAGCAACAAGAACTCCTAGAAAAGGAGCAGAAACTGGAGCAGCAGAGGCAAGAACAGGAAGTAGAGAGGCATCGCAGAGAACAGCAGCTTCCTCCTCTCAGAGGCAAAGATAGAGGACGAGAAAGTAAGAGGCACTGGGGTAAAAGATGGACTCTCTTCCCTCATCTTTAGCTGATCGCCGTGCAGAAAGAAGCCTGATAAAGAATGGAATTAGACTTGTCAAAATCATCTGCATTTAACTAAAAGAATAAATTACAGACCCAAATGTAGAGCTTTGATGCCACATATCAGCTCTCTGCTTTCAGTCTACAAAGCATTTCAGGAAGTAAACATAGCATTGTCTGGCAAAGATACTAATTTCTGTTGTTTTGAATTTTAAAAATAGTATTATAGTAAAGCAAACTAGCTATGCCACACTGTTTAATAATAACCTTACTGCTACATTTTCTCACTATACCTTTCTCTGGCTCAAATAATAATAGCTCTGTAAGTCAAGCCTTGCCTCCATTTAGTTTTTGAGTTCCAAGACTTTGGGAAGATTTAAGGGAGAACATTTGTTTAAAAAAAAAAAAAAAATCT